ATTATTTTTTTGTTAAAAAACAAATGTTGCCCTGACATACCATCACTATGAACAAGGTGTAGTTATTGAATTTGTTAAAATCATTTTTTGTTGGTGTATGGTTTCCACACATCAAAATCGTTGAACACTGGAATGTGTGTAATCTTTGTTGCTTGGTATGAGTAGGTTTTCCGTGTGTCGATGCTACACATATCTTCAGGGGCAAGGACAGGTTCATAGCCTTTGCTATCATAGTCTTTTGCCTTTAACAACCTTCCATTAGGAACAATGGTTCTGCATTCATCCAATGCTTTCAGGTCAGTTTCGTTATAGTATGACTTATGATTTTCACTGAAAATTGACTCATGAAACTGGAACATTGTCGCGCTGACATTGTTGTATTATTCCTCTGTTTCCACCAAAATATCATCATTGATTCTATCATGGTCACGGTGCTGTGTTTTAATGCTGTAGGTTACCGTTTTCTGTTTCTTGCCCATCTTGTGTGTTAAATCAAACTTGATTTCTACTGCCCTAGCTGCTGTGTGCCCAACCTGTGGTTCATATCCTCCTGGTGCAAATCATTGCCTTTTAAAAACTAATCTGTATACCTCTTCATCCTTTAGACAATCACATCATCGATACCATCAATCATTTTGTATTTAAGAGGTTCTTCTCTGTTGTTGATGTAATAGTTGTCTCCAATCCTGAATTTGTAGAGTTCATCAACACTTTCTTTCCTTTTAAGTGATTTCAGGTTATAGTTCAAAGCGTATATGCGGCTGTTCTTAATCAATACGTTGAAACTTATGTAGCTATGGCAGTTGAAGTTTACAGGGTTATGTTTGTAAATCAAGCTGCTGTCAATATCATATAATCTTGCTTGGGCATTGAAATGTTTAAAAACTTTATCCATTGGCCGATGACTCTGCCGCAGCCACTCAGCCACTCAGCCGCTCTGCCAGAGTGGCTGGAGCCAGAGTGGCTGCGTCGGCCACTCTGGCAGAGTGGCTGAGTGGCTGAGTGGCTGAAAATTTCCACCATTGCGCGTTCAATCGAAACTTATGCCATTGCTATGTTTCTGCATGAAAACACTATGCAGCTCAAGTAATTATAGTCAATATAGCCTTGGCATGTCTTGGCAATTGAAAATCCACCACGGGGGTCCCATGACCAGAAGTTTGGGGTCCCATGGATTCCCACAGGTTCCCCTTGCCATCTGCGTAGTTCACTGCAGACCTCACCAACAGCCAAGCCGCACAGCCATCTTCGTTCAGAAAGGTGCGTGGTACTGAGGGGCACTCCCCTGGTCTGCTGGAGGCTGAACAATGCACTAATGGTGACTGCCAGAGTCAAAGCTCTATGGCCCTAATGCATCTGGATAAAACTTGGATAAATAAGAATAGTTTGAATAGTTCACTAACTTGAAAAAAAATGGCGAGGGAATCGTTGGCCCAATCCTAAGCATCATTCCAACATCGAGACGTGGGGCCGTTATGTCTTTTATCCCAACGATTTTCCATTGTACCCCGTTATATCCCAATGGGTGAAATCCCAAGTTTTGTTGCTGAAACATGTTCAAACCACCACGAACATCGGTAGCTCAGCATCGCCATCTGGCCATCTCGCCTCCAGTCCATGTCTTGGAGCTGGCAGGTGCCTCCACGGTGTTCTCCACCAGGGCTGCGGGGGCCTTGACACGCTGGCGGTAGAAGGAGCGGTGGAGGCTGGGCTCCAACTGCAGTTGCTCCTGGAGCCAATCCTCGTGACCTAACAGCTGTGCATCTGACAAACATGTTTTTACAGTTCCAATTGGCATCACATGGCATCACATGTAAGCCTCAGATCGTTAGCCCTCAGATATAAGCCTCCGAGGTAACCTGTTGGCGTTAATCGCAGTTATAATATCCATTGAGATTCATCCTGCAGAATCCTTTGATCTTTTTATGGATGTAGACTAGTTTTTGTATTTTTTTGCCTCAGGTTTTGGATTTGTTTTTGGTTTTCTTTCCCGGTACCATTTGCCTTGTGTTTGCAACAGTTTGGAACTAGACCCTGTCGTTTTGCATGGTATTTGCTGCATTTTGGCATGGTCACTTTGCATGTTGCATGGTATTTGGTACATTTGGCAATGTTTGCCTTCCATTTTGCATGGTATTTGCAACCTCTCATTTGCATGGTATTTGCTACATTTTGGTGCTTCAAACGTTCATGTGGGTCTCTTGAGGGTTCTTTAGGCTTTCATTTAGGGTTCCATTTAAGGTTTCATTTAGGGCTTCATTTAGCGTTTGATTTAGGGCTTCATTTGGGGTTTCATTTAAGGTTTCATTTAGGGTTTCTTTAGGGTTTCATTTAGGGTTTCTTTAAGGTTCGGGTTTCTTTAGAGTTTCATTTAGATTTTTTTCCGGTTTCATGCAGGGTCTCTTATCGGGATTTCATATCAGGAGTTCTAAGCGTTCAAAGCGGGTTCTTTAGGGCTTCTTTAGGGTTTCATTTAGGGTTTCATTTAAGGTTTATTTGGGGTTTCAGTTTGGGTTTCATTTAGGGTCTCATTTAAATTTAAGGTTTCTTTAGGGTTTCATTTAGAGTTTCTTTAGGGCTTCTCTACGGTTTCATTTGGGGTGTCATTTCGGGCTTCTTTAGGGTTTCATTTAAGGTTTCATTTAAGCTTTCTCTTTAGGGTTTCATTCCAGGATTTCTTATCAGGATTTCTTTTCACGATTTCTAAACGTTCAAGTGGGTTCCTTTAGTGTTCCTTTAGGTTTTCATCTAGGGTGTCATTTAGGGTTTCTTTAGGGTTTCGTTTAGGGTTTCGTTTAGGGTTTCGCTTAGGGTTTCATTTAGGGTTTCTTTAGGGTTTCAGTTTGGGTTTCATTTCGGGTCTCATTTAAGGTTTCTTTAAGGTTTCATTTAGAATTGCTTTAGGGTTTCATTTAAGGTTCCTTTAGGGATATCATTTAGGGTTTCTTTGGGGTAGGTTTCAATTTAGGGTTTCATGTAGGTTTTCTTTTGGGTGTCAATTTAAGGTTTCAGCCAAGGTGTCAGTTAAGGTCTCATTTAGTTTTTTCAGAGTGTTGTTTAAGGTTTCTTCGGGATGTCATTTAGGGTGTCATTTAAAGTTTCTCTAGGGTTTCATTTGTGTTTTCTTTAGGATTAATTTATGATTTCTTCAGGATTCATTTATGGTTTCTTTAGGGTTCATTTAGGTTTTAATGTAGGGTGTCATTTAGGATTTCTTTAGGGTTTCTTTGGGTTTCACCTAGAGTCTCTCTAGGATTTCATTTAGGATACAAACAGAACAGAATAAAGCAAAAGAAAACGAAAAACAAAGAGACAGTAAAGACAGGAAGCAAAGAAGCAAAGAAGCAAAGGAGCAGGAAGTAGAGCAGCAAAAACACATGACTGAAGAAAAGAAAAAGTAGAATAGTAGAAGTAGAAAGGCACAGAAGTACAAAAGCAGAGAAGCAGGGAAAACAGAGAAGCAGAAAAGCAAAGAAGCAGGAAAAGCAAAAAGCAGAAAAGCAGGAAAGCAGGAGAAGCAGAGAAGCAGGGAAAGCAAAAAGCAGAAAAGCAGAGAAGCAGGAAAAGCAAAGAAGCAGAAAAGCAGAGAAGCAGAAAAGCAGAGAAGCAGGAAAAGCAGAGAAGCAGAAAAGCAGAGAAGCAGAGAAGCAGAAAAGCAGAGAAGCAGAGAAGCAGAAAAGCAGAGAAGCAGAGAAGCAGAAAATCAGAGAAACAGGAAAGCATAGAACCAGGAACCCCAAAAAAAAAACCTGCCGCGGAAAAAAAAAAAACAAATAGCCCTCCTCTTTTTATTGACAGCTAACTGTTTTTTCAGTTCTTGACGTGTCTTATGACCTGCCGGTATCAAGTTCTTTTGATACACGCTCAAATGGGTGGCGCTACGAGTGGCCGCCATCCACGTCAAGATAAAAAAAAAAACACATGGCATCACATTATTCATCGTCGTGGTCAGCATCATCATCAGCAGCAGCAGCATCATCATCATCATCATCATGACCTGGGGAGGTGTATGGAGCATACAATGCACAGCAAAGAAATGCACCATAAGCCTGGAATCCACTGCTATGAAAAGCAAAATAACTTGTTGGTAGACAATTGTTATGGATGTCTATCCCCCGAAATGAACTTTTGACTCATCCCTGAATGCAGTACGACCAATAGTCTAGGGTGTGGCCTGCTGTCAAACTGAGATGTCAACAATGTTGCATCCTCGAAAAAAGTCAGAAGTATGAGCTCAGTTGACAAACAAGCTATCATCCAACAATGGAATGGCCAGTTTCCCAATGTTTCCCAGCAATTGAGGCACTCTTGGTGCCCAGATCTGCCAGGCTAGCGCGTGTGGGGCCGAAGGTTGATTGGATCAGAAACTGGGCATCTTTCTGCAGTTCGGGCGAGGCGGACACGTAGGGCGTGGTGGTGGTGGTGGTCTTGCACTGGGAGTAGTAGGGGCCACCATACACACACCACCAACCTGAGTGAACCCAGCGGAGAAAGATATTGGTTCATCCCACATACAATATCGAAACGAAAAATATATTTGAAACCACCGACCAGCAACCAGGCTCGCAGCAGGTTGCCCCATCGTAATTCATACCCCCGCACTTCTCATAGCGTTTCTTGCACTCCACCGAAGCCGTGGTCGTGGCAGTCGTCACACCCGAAGTCGTGGAGGCCGTAGTCGTAGTTGTTCCAACGGTGGTGCTGGGAGTAGTGGCTGCAGTGGTGCTTGCAGGTGTTGTAGTGGCCACAGTAGTGGTGGTTGCTGCTGTGGTTGTCGCCACGGTGGTGGTGGTCGTAGCCACCGTGGTGGTTGTCACCGGGGTTGTTGTGGTGGTGCTGGTTGAGCTGACCTGGCCGCACAGCTTCATTGCTTTGGAAACTAGCCATTGGAGAACATGAAACCCATGGAATCCACATCACAACTCACAAGTAAGATGACTCTGTGAAAATGCGTGGAAGTGAAGTGATTCAAGTGATGACAACAACTGGAAACTTCACGTTCAAGTCACTGCAGAGGATTGCGTTGTTTGCTGCGTGGTAGTCGTGATGCTGCCAGCAGTGGTCGTGCTGTTCGGAGGCTTGCAGCCCGAGTAGTATTCATTGTCGAAAACGCAAATGTCACCATTTTCGCAGCACCTGAATAAGGACACACGGGAGGGGCATATACCCAGCGAAGAAAGTCAAGGGCATCAAAAAGACTAGGGCAAAATGACTCATGACAATTGTTCTCCCAGCCATTTGTTGATATTTTTGAGGAATGGGTTACATGTTGTTACCCCTCCTTCGCAAGGGTACTGGTTTGGCTACAGGATGTGAATCCCATCCATTCTCCGTCCATTGCGCCTCGGGCCATTCCAATTGCGACCTCCACACTGCCGGTAGCGCGTTGCAAACTCCGTTCCCGGGGCGGTGCAGTCCAATGGGACTGTGGTGGTGGTTCCAGTGGTCGGCCGGCACTGAGAATAGAACTCGTTCTGCACGATGCAATCCCAGCCATAAATGCAACAGGTTTTTCCAGTGTAACCCTTGCCACCACACTGATCATAGCCTTTGCGACATTCTTTCGCGCTGGTTGTTGTGGCTTCAGTGGTTGTGACCGACTCTGTGGTTGATGCCATTGTCAACACCGTGGTGGTGGTTGTGGACTCAGTTGTGGTCATGGTAGTGGCCGTTGTTGACTCCGTAGTCGCTGTGGTGGATGGGACTGTCCCAGCGGAGTACTTCAGACACTTGGAATTAGACAAAGGTTTCACAGCCTCAATTCCTTCAGGGCGCACCCACACTTCGCCTCAGTGACACAAGCTGCAAAGAACTCCGAGGGGATGCTAAATCTGCCATTGCCAGTATGTTCAATAATATTTCATGGTCAGCTGGCTTAAACCCCTATATGCCACCTGCAGTTCACCTGTTTCCGACATCGCCAAGTGGCAATGGGTTCCGGCAAACTCAATGCCTTGGCATGCGGCCTCCTCTCTGCAGCTTTGCTTGCACTCATCGATGCTGCCGGTGTTTTCCATCACCTGCGGCAAGGATCCAGCCGACCCCGCTGCCCGATGTCACCATGTTCCTTTTGACCATGCGGCCATGCGGCTACGAATCCGAACTACTTCCCGGAAAACAATGTTTTGTTGGCAAAAAGAGAGTGCTGCAATCCCGAACAATGACCACCTGACCACCCGGACATCTGTTTTTGTTCCTTGGGGCCACATTGGATTCAAATACCCACCTCCGCGGCCCCTTGCCCTCTCGATCTTGTTGATAATATGGTGGCAGGCAGCAAGCATTGGTAAATCCAATAGAATGAATTTAAAACCCGGTTGGGTATGGTTTGTAACTGGCCGCAAATGATCAAATGGTAAAATTGAATGTGGTTTGTGGTTTGGGGTTTTTAACATGATGATTGCAACTCAATCGCTCACTCTTGATTGATTGAGACTCCAATGATTGACTTCCCTATTCATTGGATGGTAAATTGTCAATGACAGTACGAACTGGAGGGTAAATCCCCATTTTAAGAGTTGATATCTCATTTTTTTTGTGTTTAACTGATCTTTTCTGTACCCCGTTTTGTGGGTAGCTAGAGGTCCAATGAACAACCCCCCATCAAAGTCACAATATAAATATATATATATATACCATCAATACCCAACAATGGCACTTCACCACAGTCTCCAGCCCCCGTTTTTCGCCTTGAAGTAAGCGGCTTGGTTATCGTTGACATGGGCCCCGCGGCAAGCGGCCTCGGCGACCAAGGGATCTGCCTGGTAAAATTCCAGGCGGTAGCAGCTGTAGCCCGGCGCTGCCGTAGAAGATGCGATGGCATCCTGGGTATGGTAGAACTGGAAATGAATCGTGAGCACCAAAAACCTTTGGATGTAGGCCTCAAAACGTGAATCCTTGGACTTTAGTTGATTGTACATGATTTAAGCTTCAAAAAATGAAGTTGAAGCCTTGAAAGTTAGGGTTTGACGGACAAAAATGTGCATTAGCCATCCAGAAACGGGATTCACAACCCAAATATCGAGATTGAACAATCAACATGCTGAGTTTGATCATAGAGGTTTGACCGCCCCAACAAAGTGGCTTATACCTTCTTCAATCAAAACCTAGCGATGGAAGATCATGGTCAAGAGGAAAGTGATCTCCACCTAGGCCCTTTCTATTGCCAATCTGGATCAAAGGTGATCAATATTTTCTGGCTGGTGATGTCAAATATCTTTTCATGCGATCATCTGGATTGCTTTCCCCGTGCAAAATTTGGAGTGGCTGAACCCATGGTTTGAAATACTATATACTATATACTTCAAGGACCACCAAGATCACGTCAATTTTAAACTTTTTAGAAGGTAGCTAGCTCCCCACCAAAACAAGCAGCAAGTAAATGTCAACCATCTCTCTCTCTTTCTCTCTCCCCCTCCCGCTCCAAGAGTCGGGTCGAGTCAACAACTTGCAAGTGCCCCCTACACCTTCAAACTCAATGCCCTTGCAAGCTGGAGTTGTCACACACTGCAGCTTGCACTGAGATATTGTTTGGATTCCCTGCTGCACCACATCCAAATCGCTTGTGCCTGCACACAACTCAAGTGAAGTTGAAGGCAGTCCACAGTACAGCAAAAGAGGATCAGCATGAGAAGATTTAGTTGATTTTCATCAATGTCATACGCTCTCTCACCAGAAAGGGCTGGAGGAAGTCGCTTTGACATCAGAAAGTCCCCCAACTTCCCCTTGGGATTTTGGAGCCTACCCAATTTCCAGACGAACCCGTTCTAGTGTGTGTGTGTGTGTGTGGATGTGTGTTGATGGTATCAAGACTGTTCCCATTACGATGGATTTTGCTTTAGACAAAGCTGCTATATTTTGATATCAATCAGATTGCACAGGAGATCCTCCAGGAGAATTTGAAGCCGGTGAAATATCCAGTCCATACAGTGTTGGTCAAGTCTGTTGAGTTATACCTATGGAATTCCATTAATGATATCCAGTTAAGTTGAGTTATATATATATATATCCTATTGAAGGCCATTAATAATCATCAATAGTATATCACCATGATATCACCATCGTGGTTGGTTCTCCATATCTCCCCATATCTTGGCCTTCACAGCGTCGGTCCAGGCCACCATCCACGGCTTCGAAGAGGGAGGGCTGGTAGCTCCAGCATTGAAAGTTCTCCAAGGGGATGGAGGCCTGGATGCCTTCGGGCCTTGGTCAAAACATGTCACCCATGAAATTACCAGATGAATCAGATGATTGGGGGGATAATATCCTTTTTCACCAGCAATTTGAGGGTACCTCGGGTACCAGGGTCTTTGATCCAGAACCACATCTGACTGGTGATTTTGGTCACCTGCACAGCCTAAAAAGCTGGCGAATGCACCGCGCCTGGTCCAAACCTCGCAGCGTGTGCCACTGAATTCAACGCCTGGCCATGGAGGGTGAGAATGATGAGTTTTGGTTGCGGTTTTTGTTGTTATGGATACACTGTCACTGTGGTTTGGGATCATTCTCTCCCTTTCTAAGACAAAGGCTTGTTCTTAGATTCTATGTTTACTCGTGCCTTTGGTTTAGTATGGTTCAGCGTTCAATTTCGGTTGCAGTAGTCATCATTCTTTTCGTCCGTCTTGACGTATTTTTTCTTTCGTCGTCATCATCACCATCATCACCATCATCACCACCACGAAAATATATCTTATGTGACTTATGTGTTTACATGTGTTTTTATTGGTCGCCCTCCCAGCTAGTAGCCTACCAGCTAGTGCCCCAGTTCTCAGCTGTGCAGATTCAAGGCCCCAACTTGGCCCCACGAGTCCTGAGCAGTTGGAATGCTTCAGGCATTCATCTTTGCACAGGTCGATAGATGGAATGCCTCCCGTGACCGCGAAAGGACCCTGCCAAACACGGGAGGTAACTTCAGCAGATCAGCCGATCATCACTCTGAACGAGAACTGGATTCAAAACCTCGATCGAAAACGACTTAAGTTCATTTCTATCACATGGTGATCATGGTGGCAAAATTCTTAGTAGCTCCTCGGCTTTCCAGTGTTTTCTGGGAATATGGATATCCATAGCTCTTTAGCTCTGTGGCTCCCTCCTAACCACCAGCCCCGCCTGAGACCACGCTGTAGTAACTGGCCTGGTTGTCATGGCTGGTCGCTCCACGGCAGGCTCGACCGTCTCCCCCATCCACGGGATACCAGTCGTAAGGCACCCCCGGCACCACCATGACATGCTGACGCGGGGATTTCCTAGGCCACCGTGAGACTACCCAATGTGCACCTCCCAAGGTGAAATACAAATGGTGGTTGGATGATATACTTTGATTATCTTAGATTTATCTGCATGTCCCTTATTGCGGGCTGCTTTGTGAGGTTGAGTTTGAAACTTGGCATTCCTACAGAGCGGATCAAAAGCTACCCAGGCAGCAGTGTCCACTTTCCCTCCAGCCCACATGGCTGCCAAATTCGAAAAACCGTCTGGCAAAACCGTCTGGCAAAGCCTAAAGGCGCAAGACTTCATGGTACAGTGATGGGCTGGGCAAGTTCTACGAGCAGCTATCACAAGCCCCACTTATGCACCGATGAGCTGGTGTTCAAACCCAAATCAGAGCTGGTCTCCGTTCATCATTGAAGGTGGCCGTATCAAAGCAGCCAAGCTTCTGCAGGAGCCCCACCCCAGCTGTACACCCGTTGCAAGTTTTCTCAGCTGTTGCAAGGTGCAGCAGCCATAAAACCAGCAAGCTGGTTTGAATTGATCGTGAAGTAGCAGCCATCGAGACAGCCACCCTTGGACTCGAGGAGAAGAGCGCGAGGACGCTTGAGCCACTAACGCTGCCAAAATTCGATGCCCGACTGCCAAAATCCGCTTCCAAAAACTGGGGAGATGGTTTCAAACTTCAAACCCCAATAGAAAAAACCATACTGGTCAGCACACCCAGTAAAATCATCAGATTTCGCAAAGGCTGTGTTTTGACATTTGATCACTGGGGCAGCCAGGCCGAAGGCACGTGGGCTGACCGGAGGCGACGAAAGGCGGGGACACCAAATGCGTGTTTTTCCCGCTGCCAAAAATGGGAATGGCTCAAAAATGGAGTATTGATGGAGTCATTGTCTGACTAAACCAGGGATAATTTACACGATAATTTCTTTGGATCAAGAATCTTGAGCTCTAGCCAAATGAAACGCCAAATGTTAGTGTTCCCATTCAAACTGCATCCACTTTGAGCACTGCATTCTGAGCCACGGCCACTGGTGTCAAAGAGAGGTAAAATGCTGTCGAGTAAATATCTTGAAACTATCGTTGTTTTTTTGACGAAAAGGTCGCGTTCGGATTTCGGCCCTTCACCCAAACAAAAAAGGAAAACTGTTCGGATGGATCAGCTCGCGGCGTATCGCCCAAAACATTTGGCACCACATCCACATCATCATCATCAGCATCATCATCATCATCATCATCATCATCTCAGGATATCTCGTGTCCTCCCTTCAACTCCCAACCCCAAACCTCCCCAGCTCCACATGCAGGGCAGACGCTTTGTGGCTTGTGACACTTCCTGGCCAGGAAGGGACCAAGGCCCGTCGGGTAGGCGCGAGCATGCCTTCAAAGGATGCCACCTCCTTTCACCAAAGGGCTTGCAAGTAAAAAGCATGCCTGACCGAACCTAAGCATTCTTGACTTCACTTCAGGCTACCCCATAAATCTCCACTACCCTGCTCAACTTCCGTAAACACAAAGCCCAGCCGAAAGTTGGAGACTTAGCAATAAATGAAGTCAGGCACCAAGCCCATGTACTGTAGTAAAGCCAAAAATACGCCACACCCCTTTTGCCCAGCCTTCCCATTTGGGTTGTATCAAAATCACACCCCCAAAAAGAAAAAGTCACCACACTGCTTGGCAGAAACTTGTTCGGCAAAACATCTTTGAGGCTGATGCCTGACATGACAGGTTTTTCAACACCTGCGGCCGATACTGAAAGCAAACACAAGCGAGGCATGGCCAGAAGTGTAGGTTTCCATGATTGTTGACCAAGATCGTTCTGTGTATATATATATATATATCATCATATATTTATCTAGAGAGGGAGGGGGGGACATCTCGACAATACATATGTATACACTGGTGGGGCTGCCTTCTGCCAGCCGAAATTCCTGATCTATTTCCCGAACTTGGCTGTGACTGACAAGCTGATGTCATTGCATGATGTACCAAAATCATAGAGCCCGCCGCTGAAAACACGTTCCTTCCAAAATTGTGTGGGCATCCAATAGTCAAATAGCTACCAGAAATTTTGGTCTAGTGACCAATAGTGGTATAGGCGCCAGCTATCCCGTCACCGCCTGGGCCATCTGCTTTGGATAGCCTGGGCCAAGGCTGTTCCTGGCTCAACCTTGGTCTATCACTAGCGTGTCCAATCAATCCATCCAATCATTGAAGCTGGCAATGGAAAATGTTTATTGGTCCCAAAGTTTGCCATATAATCCACATATAATTGCTTTTTCATGGAAAATCACTCATGATTTTAGACGACTATCCCATATTTCGTCCAAAATCTGGATCAAGAGTCCCCCAGATCACCGCGTCCAAACGCCTTCGGGAACCACGCTTGGCCTGGCAGAGGTAGCAGAAGAAACCGGAGGAGAAGAAGACGAAAAGGATGATGATGAGAGTCATGATAAGACCAGTATATAAATAGTAATAATACCAATTAATTACTGCCACTAATTAGCAGTAATGAAAGCAATGATAAGAAGAATCATAATAAGACTAGTAATGATAATAGCAATTGAAAATCAAACTAGCAATAATATATAACACGAACAATAATACTCACAATGGCAATAATAACAATAATGATACTAATAATGATGACAATATCGTTATCAATCACCACTATCATCATCAACATCGTTGTCTTTCGTTCCCCACCTCACTGGAAAGCGCTTCGCTGGGTGTCTGCCGGCCATGCACGGAGCTTGAGTGCGATGCTGTGGACCTGGGCGCCAGGAAGGGGTTCAAAAACCTGGTGTTTCTTGGTGAACACCAGAATAACTGGTGTTTACAGATGTTGGCCCCCTCCAAAACCTTATGTGTATATAGATATAGATAGATATATAGATGTATCTATATATATATGTGTGTGTGTGTCTCTCTCTCTCTCTCTGTGTCCAACCAAGTATTGTAGAAAAGGTGTTGATCCATTTCCGTGTGAAAACCGCAATTGGCCAACTTCTTCCGGAAAATTCAACTAAGTGTGATTCTACAGCTGAGGTCCTCCCAAAAAAACGAGTTACCCCCAAAACTGTTAGATAAAGGACGCCCCATCTATAACCCGATGCATCTATAACATTAGAAGCCCTTACTTCAAGTCATTCAAACCCTACAACCCCATCTATTACCGGTGATCACCTCGCACTACGGCTGATCCAGCTGATCCCATTATCCCCAAGAACCAGGCGCGGGAGGCTCCAACAAGGAGAAGCTGCTGCGGTGTTCTGCCTGGCCGTTGCGGCGGTTGTGGGTGTCGCTGAAAAATGGGTGCCTCTTCAAATGGCCATGAAGTAATGGGGAGGGATGATCATAAAGCTAGTGTTTGCCGCAACAAAACAACATCTATGGAAAAAGTGGAGCTTGGTTGGCGGTAATTGGCTCAAATTGTGAAAATATATATCATACAGTATAGTCATATACGGTTGAACTGTTTTTTTTCGGGCATAACCTTCCATTTTGTTGAGATTGGAGAGGCAAAACCAATAGGTAGAGGGGCAGGGCTATTACAAAGCTCCATCTGGGACCCTAAAATGAACAAATCCACGTTGAACTATATAACAAAACTAGGATTCCGAGGAGGTGCTCTCTGGGTAGGTGGAAGATTTTACAGATTTGTTCTAATCTTCCAGGAATCAAACTCCAAGTCTGGGAACCTTCAGAGTGACTTTTTTGCAACTACTCCGCCTCCAAAGTCCACTTGTCGATTTCATGCGATTTCACATCCAACCTGGTGCGGCTGCGTGACGACATTCTGGATACTCCTTAGCCCAAGTGGGTGAGTCCATTCAGCTAGGGTGAAATTTGGGTGCCTAGCTGTCCCGGGTAGACCATATAGCCTTCACATGTGGCATGGTTAGCTGGATGTTCATCCCCTCATTAGATTATCTCATTTAATGGCACCCATCCCCCAATGACTTTTGGTCGTGTGGCTCTACCCAGAGCAAGCCAAACATGTTGAACTGGGTTTGTTCCCAAATGGGAAATGGATACCAATGAAATACCCACACATGTCAATCTTAATGGCAATTTTTTTGTATGAAAATTCTAGATGATAACCACATGATGATCCATTTGACTTGAAGTTCATGAAGCCCACCAAAATAGGGCATCGAAATCCCTCCACTGGGTCTCCTGCCCCAAGTCTGTTTCGGCGCCGTCCTCGCGCACTGCTCGGGTGGCAGGTTTCCAGTGGCGGCGATCACGTGCCTGACGTCACGGACAGGCGAAGAATGGGACCGTTCAAGGCATGGGACACAAGATGTGTTTTGATCATCCGAAAATGATAATGTCATTGGATTGGTTTAAGGGAAAATCTGTAGGAAACCATAAGGGGGTTTCTGGTAAAATTTCTCGTAAACCAATCCAATGATAATGTTCATCTCCTGTAATTTGATCAAAGTGGCGGTGTATGAGTGGATATAGGCCAAAACATAGGCGAATGCAAGTGAGTTCATATTGCAGATGTTTAAAGAAAAGCTGATATGAGCAAGCGTGGTAATGATATTTCCGATGCATGTATGGTTCGAATAGTCTAACTGCTGCTAGCCTGGTGAACACCAAAGCAATGACTATTAATTACACAAGCATTAGTATGAACAGAATCTGATTTGCTCATCTTCTAGAGCATTTTTTGGGCGGTCTGTAGTTTTTGACCGATGCCGAAACCACATGCGTGGGGGATGTGCTGACAAAACTAGCGCCATGGACATGGGCTCTCTCAAGGCACCCCAAGGATATCCAAGACCTCGAATCTTGGTGATATTGTTTGAGATTGGTTCAAGTGAGTGTGTGTGCGCATATATAGACATACATATATGTATATATATATATATGTGTAGGCACATTTAGCTGGCTATATATATATACATACATACATATCATATATATACAACATATATATATATAATACAATATATATATATATATGTATAATAATAGATAAATCCGCCCAACGCTATTACGTGCCCATGCTAATCTGCTTGTCAATTCTTTCGCTATGCACAAGTGCCCGTGTCCGGAAGGGAAATTGGTTCCCTGACGGTGTCACTTTGGGCCCGTCTCTGCTGCACTTTGGCAATGAAACAGGCCACCTGGGCATCATAATCAAACTCCGCAGACAGCAACTTCCGTAAGCCCTGGCTCTGATTCATGGCTTGAAACTCTTTATGAATCTCGCGTTTCTGTTCTTCAGTGATGTAATGGAAGGTCACTGGCAAGGGGTCAGTTTGGTGAATGGCCTTGATATAGCCTTCATTCAAGCTGCTTCCCTTTCGCCCTGCACCATCCACCCTCCAACCGTACAAACCTTTCATGGTCAACAGAGGAATCTCGTTCCGGCGCAGGACGCAGCTCACAGAAATGTCCGCCCAGGATTGGATGCCATTCTTCTCCTTGGCGATGTGGCCCATGAGGTCCTGCAGCTTGGCCCTTGGTATCCCTTTTTTGTAGCCCCAGAATTGGTGATTCCATTAAGATTAAAAGGAGGTTGGTTAGAAAGTCTAGTTTGGTTCAAGGGGACAGGCAAAAGTGTTTGTGCGGGTCCGTCTGAAAGGCACTTTCCCCTTTCTCCATGATCTTTTCCATGGCCGGACGGGAGATTGCAAAGCCGCCACCACCACAAAATCCTCCCTGAGGACACAAATGCCCACCACATCCCACGATCCCCACCGCAATGGCTTGCGAGGCATCGAAGCTGGCTAAGGCCCTGTGGGCATTCGCGACGTTCAAATAGAAATCGTCATCCACCATGAAGACCCAGGAGAAGTTTCCCAGCCGTTGGTACGCCAGTTGCAGCGCCACACCGGCTTTACAAACCAACTGATCGTTGTGATCATTGCCGCAACCCTTGGCGGGAAGGATGGGAGGATCCTTTGAGGCCTTATCCCCCACCAGCACCAAGGAATCCAAGGCAGAGTTTCGGACATCTTCACCCCACGTGCTCAGCACACCGGCAATCTTTGTGCCGTAGTTCTTGTGATAAGTCAGCATGACATACCTGAAAGCGTGAACAGTCAAACCAGCCAGAATCCATGATCGGTTGTGAGTGTCGTTTGCTTCCGCTTAATCGATGACACTTCTTGCAAGGCCCCTACCATGCCATCAACATGCAAATTAAACATTCCCTCCTAACTCCCTCTAACAACAAAATGCCATAATAGCCGAACCTTTTGCGGTGAACCCAAGGGAACCTTTTAATTTGCCAGCACTCTCTTTTTTTTACGCCTACACCTTGCTTTAAAAACACGCTTAGTTTTGTCAACAGCCGCAACACCGTGACGGTCAACACACCTAACCTCACAAACTTGAAACAATTGATCTTGAGGAATGACTTCGAACCCAGGAACAAGACTCCAAATGGGCTCGGGTCGGGCATTGTCGTTCCTGCCTTTTGTGGTGGTGCTGTTGAGCCCCGCAAACTTTGTGCCAAACTCTGGACCAGCGTCCCAGCTGATGGTTCCAACAAGTTTGGGGTGGACGTGCCAACTGGGGCCACACGCCTCTTGGATTTCAGCGCCACTTTCCACGCAGTTGGGTCAAGGTGATCCAGCATCAAAGCCTGAATAAGGCTCACCAACACCAGCGTTGCACAGCAGAAACATCGCCGCAGCTTCGGGACGCTGTCCACTTGGAAGTGAGAACTGGGTTGAACTCCGCGGCTTTGAGTGCCACCTTCCAAATCCGCTGTGTTCACGGGCAGATAAGCCGGCGGATCAAACTCCTGCGGCTGGGATCCGTCTGCCACTTGCACACGGCTCTGCATCACTGGCACTTTTGGAACTACGGGGAGAATATTCACGCTGCGTTGTTCATGCAAAACCCCGCAACCATCCCAAAAAACTCTAGGCATTTCTGGGTTTCTGACCATTTTGACTAATTATATAATGACGCATGTTGACGGATGGAAGATATTTTTGGAGGTTGGGATGGTGCCCCATGTCCATTCAAGCATCATGTTTCCGCAGTTGTTTTTCCCAAAATCTACTTACTTGCCTCGACTGCACCCAAGTTGTTGTTTGGTGGGCACTGCTGATAGTTGTGAGGTCGTTAGGTGGCCTACGTTACTAAGGTTCCAATTCGCCAATGTGCACAACAAGTATGGATGGAACCATCGCCCAGTTCCATGCTGCACGATCCATCCTTTTACTATCTATGATTATATGTGCTGTAGCAAACCAAACAAACACGGCAAGGAACCCAAATGTCGATACCTTAAGCCTTAGACGATCTTCATGGTAAAGAAAATTGTCAGTGACAAATTCCGATCAAAAACTTATTCATTTCCGCCTTCGGACATTGCATGTCCAAGCAAAATCCTCACAATGACATTTTTCCACTATCACATCCATTGATCGATGCCACAATTCCCATACCATCCCAACCATCGAACCTTTACCTTCACCCTTTGGATGCCGAGTAAGTGCTGGTATTTCAAAAGTTCCCTTGGCAAGCGTCAAACCCCCACCAGTTCCCTGCCAGAGGGGAACATCATTGTGATTTGAACAGGACATGTGCCGGGAAGTGCGCTTAAACACATAATGCCATGGCATCACATAGCCCAAACATGCATGTGCCGTCTGAGCAACCCGGCCGTTCAATATCACACAAATCCTGCGAGGTCAGCTGGCAGCAAACTGTTGTTGTCCAAGGTGGTAAATCAAGTCAGCATTCCCACAATTTAGAAATCAAGAACCAAACTGCATGCTGAAACCTATCCCGTGATGGAAAGCTAGGGCCACTGTTGACAGCAACCACGCTGGTCCGGAGTTGGGACGACAGCACCAGTCCCTGACTGTCATTCAGCGCGAGAAGGAAATCAGAAATCCCGGTGGCCTGCCCTGGTTTGTAAAGAAACACCTTTTGGCACGCAAATGTGTTGCAGTTTCGTTTGTTCCGGTTCTTGCATCACTATATTTTTCGCCTTGGGTTTCTCAAAAAAAAATGAGGGTGGGAACCACCGCACGTTAATCATTGCGTTCCATGCCGGGGCGCTATTCCGGTGCACAACCCGCGGTGCGGAACGAATTGGTCGCATTCCCTTTGCGCCACATGTTTTACATTTCTGTCCATCCAACGCGCCAACAGCACATAAATATGCGCATCTTGAAAGGAAAGTTTGCCTTGATTGAGACAGATTTTGCACAGTTTCCAGTTATATTTTTTTGTTTTCGAGCAAATGTCTCACTAGTTTGAAAGGGATATTGAAGATCATTGTGCTACTGCACTCTTTGCATAGGCACGTAGCATTTTTTTAGCATTTGTTTACCTTGCCATAACTATATTTGAAGAAGTTTGCATTAAAATCTATTATTTATAATTACAAATGTAAGAGATTGCACATTTTGAAGGCCTTTTGACAGTCGAGTCACATAGCACCCTTTTCAAAACAAAACCACATGTCCATAAAACAGTTGCACCCTTTGAAAGGCCATAATGCAGAAGGTTGTGCAATATTTGTTTTACAACAAAAAAACGCATATTTTTAAACAGATTATTGCATCATCAATGGAATCTACAGTAGGTTCTTGCTACATTTCCTTACAATAATGTTGCACACGTTGCAAACAAAAATCTACACCTTCAAAAGTAAAACACATGTTTCAATGGATGTGTCAGTAAAATGGCACTCTTTTCAAAACCATGCTATAGTAATGCAAGGCAAAATTCAATCTTGCAAAACAGCATACTGCATTTTCCGACAGGAATGCTACGATTTTTGAAAACATTCGGTACAAACACAGGAAGGTTCAACTTGAAATTCGGAAAAAATGCCACACATCTTTCAAAGAACGCAACAATGTTTGCAAAAGGTTGTTGCATACATGGAGGAATGGTGTTCAGTATGCAAAGTCATTTGAAAAATGATGTTTGCATTGGTATTTTCTTTCATTATTTAAAGGGAAAAATTGCATAAATTGGTGCCTGTTTAGTTTAAAATGCATTTTGTTTTACAGCTACTTATCTTGCGAACAATGCATATATTGGCGAAAACTCCTGCAGAGATGTAATATTTTCTTCAAATTTGTAAAGCAACGCTGCACTCTTTGGAAAGGTATTTGCAGGTGTTTGTTTTGTTGTTCTTATTTGTTATTCATCTTTGTTTTCGCTGAAACTATGCATCTATGTATGTATGTATGTATGCATGCATGCATGTATGTATATATGCATATATGTAGGTAGAACCTTGGGAGAACTGTTGAGGATGCACCGTGGTTGCTTTTGTTACAGGAGCAACAATGTTTGGTTTAAATCGAGTTTCGTATCTTTTACAGAAATGAAATGTCAAAAATGAAAAACAAATTAGCGCTCACAACACCACCGTCCCATTGGTGTGAGATGATCAAAACTTATGAAACAGCGCGCTCCGACAGCCTGCCACTTTTTTTTGGAGGAAACAGGAAATAGTTTCAGTCCGTGCTGTGGGGTCAGGACCAAAGTTGGTGAGCCGGGTGCTAAGCCGCCAAACGGACCGCGCCTCCATCTTACCCTAGACATGCAAACCGCTGTAATTTACTGAGCCAATGTGGGGTGCAAACCCTTGCTGGGCCAGGCATAATTGCTGAATCAAAAGTTGATGCCAGGCAAGCTGCAGGGACACACAGGGGCGGGAAACCATACGCAGCATGGCAAAGCAACCACACTGGGCCAGGAGTAGGCATTGTGACCCTGGCGTCAAGGTGAGCAGGTCACTCACCAGGAGGAAGTATCCCTTAGTGCTCCCCGGGGCCCAGGCCCTCAAGAGACCAAGTGCCCGACGCAAAAAGTACGTCAGGCCGCGGGGTCCAACATAAGATCAACATAGCTCTTGAGACTTGGGGGCATCATTACAAACCTAATTGAGTATATAAGGGTCATGGGCGCCGCCGCTTGGGAATTGGAAAACATATTGTTGAAACCAGTGAACCCTTTTTTTTCCTTCATCGGGTTCGACTGTTTCCATTTGGCGAGGATGTGATATCGGTTCGTTCGTTGCTGAACGTCGTCGTGCTGCGGGTCCAAATGCCGCGAAAAATTATCGAAAGAAAGTCGTATTTTTTTCAGAAAGCAACGTTTGCGAATATAAGAAAAGTCGACTTGAAAAGGCCTTGACTGAATGTCGTAACTTTGAAAATTTGGACTGGTTCAGTGCGATCCATTGAGGATGCCGCAGTTCATTGAAATGAAACATTGTCCCCAACAAATGCCTGCATCTATCAGACACGTTGGCTTCAGAAACTGTTTCCGATGATGCGCACGTGTCATGGTTGCAGTCGTTGATGGTCAACCCATGCCGCGCCGAGATGCCAGGGATGCAATTTGTTGAACTTTAGAAATGTTTTACGGAAAATCCATAACTAGCAAGGCACAAATATGTAAAAATCGAATCAGGGACTTGCAAAATTGTTTCACTGTTCGCAATTTGGGGTGTAGATCCGTTAGGTTTAGATCCGCTACCTTTCAAAACGCCAAAAATCAAAAAAAGATCCTAGAAGTTCATGTCTCACTGTGGTATCACCAAGAGGCAGTAATGAAGCAGAAGAAACTGCGGGCATGAACCATTTTGTCCTATCAAAGCAATGCGATTTTTTCCCCATAAGCCGTTGATTTGAACAATGGCAACCAATCTAATGACAGGTGATCCCTGTCAGTTGAAACTGACGACTCAGGGTTCTGAACGTAGCAGCAGGCATGACCTCGGCTCAATTAAGCCCATGCAACAATAGAGACCGGCAACAGCAATGCCAAATAATCACAACTTTCGCACGTGTATATGCAAGAACATCACCCCTTTAGACACTTGTTGGGCCAGCGCGAGGCATTTTGAGACACTTTGAAACATTTGAGGGCATGTCGAGCAATTTTGAGCAATTTGGAGCAACTTTGACCAATTTTGAGCAAATTCGAACAAATTTAAGCAATTTTAGGCAATTTTGGGAAATAATTTTGAGCAGTTTTGAGGACTTTTTTCGGGCCAGTTTGGGTCATCTCGAGCAATTTTGAGCATCTTTGTCGGGCAAGTTCGGGTCATGGCGAGGAATTCTGAACAATTTTTGCCAGCATGATATGGCATTGCTGACCTTGGACAATGTTCAAAATGTTTCAATTGAGGCTGCTTTGAGACATCTTACTTTGGCTGAAAAAGCTAGCTGATGTAAACCCCACGGATGCTCGACATGTTCAATTCAATGATTCGGACTCGGACATTGGGACTGACTTGGCAACAAACTATGCATATAGTGCACCCAAAAATTGGCAACACCTCCAAAATACGATGCCATAGCCTATTTACATGGTCCTTGCCGCGTTGGTGTTCCACCTTGGGTCACGGGACACTCACCGAAGCATCAGCCGTATGACCAAGCACGCTTTCGCCCGGGAATGGTAATGAGGACGTTTTTGCTGCTTCAACGTGGGTGCAAAAAAATAATTGAAATGATCAGCGGCCTGATGGTTTGCCACCCTTGATTTCACGAACGTTTCGGACCGTTTTCAACGATTCGCATTGTTCGAAGCATTGCGTGAACGTGATATTTCAAAACCGTAATTTGCATTTTTGTTTGTCGGCATTCATATATGCATGCTTAACCCCTTGCACAAGTGACAAAGATCGTTCGCTGACAACCTCATGTTCTGTCTCCAGTCATGGCAGGAACTTGCTTGAATATTGCACGTGTTGCTATCAAAATTTCCAGTTCGTTTGTCAAATTAAGGGCGGCCACAAAACAAAAACATAGTTTGATTACAAGTACAGTAATGCATGACGTAAACGACCCCGCACACATTGATGTTGGGCAAGTGTTGAGGGACGCTGCGGTCACGAGTATTTGAAACGGAAAAAATATCATTTATTCGACCGAGTTTCCCTTAAAGCAGTTCGCCGGCTTCGGGCGGCATAGACAAAGTCCAACAAATTCTGTCGAACATTTGTCAATAAACATGTTGTTGGTTTCTTCCGGGTAAAATGATTCAACGTTTTTGTCTCTCCAACTGCGCTGCCCGGTTTGGTGTGGCCACGTTGCCACCCACCAAACGACACAATCAAAAGTTCGATATTGCTTACAAAAAATGTTCCGACCACTGGGTTGGAGAAGACTTGCGATTGAAGAGTGGTAAAACATAGTGGTGCGTGTGGACTTGCCGGTTCAAAATGCGTTGCCCTTGTTTCCGACGAACCCATTGTCAAAGAAAAACGGGGGAAAAAAAAACATTACGGTCGGTCGACAGTTCGGATTTACGTCCAGGGTACGGGATGATATCAACGCTCGGCCACTGATGCGAAAAGCGAAGGGCGATTCATTGGAACACACGTAACAATACTGTGTGAAAGGGACAGCAGCTGTTGCGACTGCAGAAAAATTGTCGGAAACGTTTTTTTAATTACACTGTTTGAAGCCCGATGTTTGTCGCACTTTGCTCTATTTCAGCTGCGAACCATGGGGTTGAATCAAGTGGTGGAACATCGAACGATTTTGCCAAAGCAGTGCATTTGCGCAATTGATATTTGTTGATGGACAACCTGGTTTTCCTTTTAAAAAAATGGGGGGACGTTTGTTTGATGATCACCCATTTTTTGTTGTAAAGTAAACTGCAGTCCCCACTTTGTTCCCCTCCACTTGCGATATTTTTTTAAA